TACTACCACCACTACTACTACTACTACTACTGCTACTACTACTACTACTGCTGCTACTACTACTACTACTACTAATACTACTACTACTACTACTACCACTACTACTACCACTACTACTACTACTACTACTACTAATACTACTACTACTACTACTACTACTACTACTACTACTACTACTACTACTACTACTACTACTACTACTACTACTACTATACTACTGCTGCGACTACTGCTGCGACTACTACTAACACTACAACTACGGCTACGACTACGCCTGCCGCCCGCAACCATACTAATTCAATAGGACCTGCGACCGTTAGACCTGGCCCGGCACAAAAACAGAAAGCGCGCTTCAGCAAGTCGACCGAAATTGCTCGCACCACCGTTCGTGCTGGGAGCCTTGGCAATAACAAGTGGCACGTGTGTGCCCAGGCTCATACAACAAGCTGAAGGGGCGTTTGAAGCAGGAGTGACATGTAACAGCGAAGTCGCACTCGAGCGCAAGTGGGGTTGCCACAACTTGCGATGTGTGTACCAGGGCCCCCCAGGAAGCCTCAGGAGGCCCGACTTGGATACCAGAAGAGGCTCCAGGAGGCCCCAGGATTGTGAGTGTTGTGTGTGTGTGTGTGATGTGTGCTTTGTGTGGTGCGTGTTTTTTGTGTGTTGTCGGTGTTGTGTGTGTATGTTATGTTTGTCTAGCGTGTGATGTGTTGGGCGTGATTTGTGTCTCTGTGTGTGCATGTAGTTCTGAAGCCCCAGGAGGCCCCAGGAGGCCCCAGGCGGCCTCAGCAGGCCCAGGAGAACTCCAGGAGGCTCCGAGGCGGGGTCTGGGGTACCAGAAGGTCCAGAAAGCCCCAGGAGGCCCCAGGAGGTTCCAGGAGGCCCCCAGGAGGCTCCGAGGAGGGGTCTGGGGCTCGATTTTGGGAGGATGTCTCAGGCGAAACCGCCATTCTGTGAGAATCGGGGTCAAAATTATTGAAATGACCATGTGTTTTTGAAGGTTGTATGTTAACATGTTGAAATCCCCATGTGTTTTCGGACACTGACGTCACGATCTGCGTGAGGGGTGCCACCGAATTTCAGAATTTCGGGGATGTCCCGAGCGAGACGGCCAGAAAAATCGCGGACGACGTGCGCACGAATCGCCTCTGAGCTCTACTCCCTCGGAGAGGCGCGTATGAGAACAATTGTTTTATGTGAACGTTCGTACTGGGAGCCTTGGTGGGGAACAACTTCTCACGGCGCTGTCCGCACTAAGAGCCTTCGTGTGTGTGTAACTGTTGACTTAAGGAAAGACCAAATTCTTACAACGTTTCTCATTGCACCGCCGTCTCTTGCAAACACTCCGCGCGTGGGGGGTGCCACGTGCGCGAGTCCTCTGAGGGCAGACTCCGAGACTGTTTGAGGGTCCACTTCGCTGTTGTTTTCCCAGACCGCGCTCGCTCTAATCGCCGTTGCATCGGAGGCCGCGGGGAGCCAGATCTGTTGTCATGCGGCGCGGCGAGAAAGAAGAGTTGCAGCAGTGCCTACTCCAGCCAGAGCAGGTGCACATCGTCTTCGGCGACGTGCCAGGCAATGCGGACAGGAGGGAGGAGGCGAAGCGGAGGGATGTATATTTACGGAGGAGGAGAAGGAGGAGGAGGGGGTGCCTCCGTCGAGGAGTTTTGCTCGGAGGTGGCAGGCGTGGCTCCTAGGGCCAGGCGACGCGGGCGCGGTGCTCGCAGCGCGGAGGACGACGCTGCTGCGATTACCGGATCGCTCGCCAGGGCCAGATTCGGGCGTGGCGCAGCGTCGCTGAAATCGTTCACCTTCTCGTAGAAGACCATGTACGCGTGGCCCCGGATACGATCCCGGGTGAACGTGGCTACCTCCCTCTCGGATGCAAGAGTGACGTAGAGTGACGTCGGCGTCGCTGCGCGCGCGCCAACGCCCTGCGCGGACAACGAAGACGACGCAATGACCTGATGCCGCCGTGAGCCCCTCGTGCGTCACCACCGATCGCAACGCACAGGCAACGCCCTGCAAGCGCAGCGTCTGCTCGGGCACGACGACGCGCCGGGTGAGTTTGCCGTTTCTGTGCCATCCCATGAGGAGCAAGACGAGCACGGAGGGCCAGGTGTCGACACTCGTGAGCGTGATGGGCCGATGGCGAGGAAACCCGAATACAGCGCATCGGATGTTAGTGCAGGCCCAGTCGTTGAGCTCGACGATATCCCGCGTGTTCAGGCAGGCCATGAGCACGTCATGCGCTGCGTGGAAGAGCGCGTCGTCGTCGGGCGCCCGCGTGCGGCGGCGGGCGAGCATTGCCGGCGCTCTTGCCGGGGGCGCCGGAGCCTCCACTCCCGCTCGCGCCCGGAGACGACACGGTAGGTGGCGGCACTAAGTGCGTCGCGGTCGCGTTTCCTGGCGGCGACGTCGTGGTAGTGCCCGAACTCCTCGCGGCACTGCCCTGTGCAGGTCGGGAGCTCGCAGCGGCTTCCCGATGTGCACGTTCCCGAGAAGCTCGGAGAGTTGCTCGGAGATCTGCCGCCCGCGAGACCCCGAAGACGTCGGTGGCGTCTCTTTCGGGGCGGCTCTGCGAGGAGTGCAGCTGCGCGGCCGCGCCAGGGCCGAGGCCG